ATACCTTTATTGCCCGATAGGATTTCCTTTTTATAGTCGCTCTCCCTCGGTATATTTGCGGGATCAGAGGAAATCTGCCTGTGCAATATCAGAAGAGATTTTTTCGTTACCATATTTGTAGGGATATGATTTAACCCTTTTGACTTCCTCGTGCTAAGATTATCCTTACCCTGTTAAACCACGTCGTCTTTCATTATCCTGGATAAGAAATATCATCATTCTTATCCAGTGAAATCGTTATATTTGATAACGAAATATTATCGCTCAAAAGTAGAAGAGGTCTGGTCAACATTTAGTTGTCTTTTATCATTAGGTCAAGGTAGGTCTATTTTAAACTGATAAGGAAAAATAAACCTAACCTACTTTGACCAGCCGCCAGACCTCTTCGGTGATTAATGATAATATTTCATTATTAGAGGTAACGATTTCCATGGATTAAAATAATGACAAATCTTATCAAGGATAAGATCTCCATGGGATAAGACCTCCATGGGATAAAGATGATGAAATTCCCTTATCGAGAATAAGGGAAGCCACGATAAATAGGACGACGACTCGGGAATAAGGTACGGCAAAAAAACTATTATTAAAGACCTGCCTTCTTTTTTAGACCTCCGGTGACTAACTTAATCTTCGAAGAGCTCTTGGCAGGCACCACACCGGTATTGTCAAGGTTCATCAATTTCTCCTCTTTCCTTTGCAGGTAAACAGTGTCGAATCGGACCGTGCGGATTTCACCCTCAACAAAAGTTATCTCCTCGTTGGTGAGAAATTAACCTGTACTTTTGGGTGGAGGATAGGGTTACTAAATCACTAATACCGTAATATGTTATTTTTTTTTTACCACAAAAATAAGTGATTGGCCGGGTGCTCTTACTAATGAGCATGATATGATGGGATGGTGTAATGGGTCTCCCCCACCCAAACTCAGGATGCACTCGTTGCAATCAGGCCATCGAATGGTGGATTCGGATATCTTCAGCTCAGACGTTTGGTGTGATGCCATATCAAGAAATAGGTCCGACTCTGATACCAATTGATTGCCCTCTAACTAAAAAGTTTAGGATCCGTTTGACATGCGATATGTTTTTAGTCAATACCAAAACAACCGTTTTGTTATATTTGTATTTTGGGTAGAAATCGGAACCATGATTGGTAACAAAATTTTGTTTTCAAAAATTCAAAATTTTGCTTTAGTTCATCCTACCAAAATACACCATACTACTAATTTGGTGATATGGGTTTGGGTCAAAAAATTTTATATGTTATGAACTATTCCAAACCAGTATCAACCGTCTCAAACATGATGTGGGCCCAAATTTGGATACCAATATCAGAAAAACAATATCATAACACTTCCCAAACATGTCGTTAAATTTTTGGATAGTGCTACATACCGACGAATGTATACTCCATTTCACTTTCCATCCGAATCTAATGTAGGACACTTCTAACAGATGGCCAAATACTGTGATACCAACTCGATTCTAGAGCCACGGGTGATCAAGTCCGAGTATAGATCGGAGTGATACCAAACAATTAATATTTAAATGAACACAGATTACAAAATGAATTAAGAAATAAAACAATAAAGGCTGAAGAATTCTAAAGTATAACCTTTAAAATTTTAATTAGATAAACCTCCAAATAAATCTTTAATATTTTCCAATAAATGAACAACTTGAGAATCCATTTAGTGGACCCCTAACAAATCCCAAACTGAAAAGTAACCAAATGAAAAAAAATCTAAAGTTAAACCATAAAGAGAAACCCTACGTCGTCGGAAGATTGAATGACCATCTCTACTCAGCACGAACAAGTTCTAAGACTGGAACCGTCCGATACCTAAAAAATAAAAGTGGGTCAGGCTCACGAACAAGTTCTATTCTAACTACAATCTAAATAGAGACCCGATATGCAGATACATCTTAGATAACTCAATAATAACTATCTAGTTCATAAATATATATATCCACACTAAGGGACCTCACTGAACTACAAAGAGGTTTCATCCTGAATAGAGGCAACATGCAAATCGCACCTAAAGTGGGCATGTGTACCTAAACCTACAGGGTACACTACTACCTATCATAGCCAGTTATGCATCCCAATGTATATACGCTCCCTAACCATCGATCCTGAGACTCAAGCTCATATCGTGGTACCATAATCATATATATAAAAGTCCTATCCTATCCATCCATAAGAAATCCAGTTGGTCATTCAACTTGTTTTGCTGATCTGACTTAAACATATATAGCAAGTAATCCAGTTAGTCATTCAGCTTGTGCAGCTGATCTGACGTAAACATAAATAGGATTTATTTTTTTATAATCTATTCCCTTATTCCAGAGTAGGTAAGACTTAGTATTTTAAACTAATCTGTCCCTAGTATGCCACCGTCCCATACCGGTGCATACATTCCGGAACATCCACGTAATTGACAAAACATAATTTAATGGTTAATCAATTAAAATCCAAAATAAGCATAATAAAATCTAATAAGTAGATGACCCTATTATGCATCCAATACAGATTTAAAAATCATATTACAATCCATTTAATTGCTAAAATAAAGTGAAGCAATTTAAATCCCTTATATCCGTTAACAGCATGCAAACTTGTTTAACCTTTTATACTACTTAAACAGTTAACATATAATTGAAAATTACGCATTTTAGGGTTTTAATACACCATAAAAATAATATTTAAAACCCCCATTAATATTCCAAACTAGTTCAGGAAATCAAAATTATCCAAACATTGCCCAAACCACCTCCAATATGCATCAAACAAGAGAGCCTGCTCTCAAAATTGGAGAGCAGGTTCAACCCAACCATGGAGCCGGGTCTAAACAAGGGGAAGCCGACTCTTCACACAAATTAGGGGGGAACCCTCCTCGTTTCATCGATATTACAATATTCTCCTCTCTTTTTTTTTCTTTGTTTTTTTTTTTTTTCACTTTCCTTATCACACACCAATTTGAACCCTTCTTCTTTCATCAGATATTACAATCCTTATTACATGTTAAGTTAAATATATATTTAGTTTATTGAGTAAATGCATCAATATAGATATTTATAAAATTTTAACATTCATAAAATAAAGTAAAATAATTTTATATTTATACTTCACGTATTTATTAAAGATGCTATTATCATATTAATTTTTACTTTAATCCTCATATAAACGATAAGTGAACCAATCAAACCATTAATGTTACGCATATAAAGCGTTGAATCCAATCTCATAATGCATAATAAGGTGTTGCTTGCAATGTCATGTATGTAACTGGACTATTTTACTAGCAAACATCTTAATTACCTGACTCATAAAAACTATATATTGATTACATGAAATGTCAAATCAACAATATTGAATTATGTTTCAATTTCTTCGTACATTATTCAACAATCTAATTCGTAAAGCATTCAACTTCTCGAATGTACTGAAAAAAAAAAAAAAAAAAAAAAAAAAAAAAAAAAAAAAAAACCACCATTTCATCTATATTGCAGTTTTTGTAAGTGTAATAAACGATGAGCTTGATAATCATGTAATAAAATAAAATAAAATAAAATAAAATTCCCCTAAAAGTTTAAGCAATTGCACGCATCTACAATTCAGGTGTTGCTGTTATCAAACACATTGCTGGGAAGCAACATGTGCAATCCTCTGGGTATATGCCATTTGGCTATGGCACATTGATCCAAGTGGAATGATGTTTTACCTTTCTCTCCTGTCTTGGTGGGCCACATAACTTGGGGCTTGTTCCTGCATCATTGAGTGGGCCCCAACTTATCAAATTCTGAGATGTTTTGAGTGTAAATAAACCCAAACCAAAGCCTGCTGTAATTGTGGGTAGTTGTTGAACAAATTTCCATCTCCTTGGACAAATCGATCTTCTTTCATTGATTTGATGTACTTCCTCCGATTTAAAATAAATGTTAATTTTTATATTTTTAATTATCCCAAAACATATATCTCATTTAAAAAGTCAAAATTTATATATTATAACATTACCAATTTAACCTTCTCACATTGAAGGCATAAAAAAATAAACCATCACATTTATTTGCACCCACTATGGATAAATTTAATAATTTATTTTCTATTAATAAAATAAAAAATTTAATAAAACTCATCCTCTTACAAAGTTATATTTTCTAAAAGGGACATTTAATTTGAGACCGAGGGAATATTATCTTTAAAAATGAATTAAAAATTAAGGGATTGATATATCATGCTTTTTTATTTTTATTTTTATTTTTTTGAAAGTTGATATATATCATGCTTTGTTATCTTATTTTACATACATTTGCCCTGTTTGATTATATTTTGCGAGCAGCAACAGACCTCCAAGTTGTACAATCAGAGTGCTTTGTTAGACTTTAATATGCGGTTCCAAAGATTAGCTATCCAATTAGCAACGGTCACAAAGAATGATGCTTGCTCGAATCACTGCAACCATTACTGCTACTCTCAAATTAGGGTTCTTACGCGACTGCTCCTCTTCGAGAAAGATTCTCTCGGACTGGAATCTCTCTCCTGCTTGCTGCTGTCCTCTGCCGAGGCCGCCGGACTGATAATTGCACCGATCATCTTCTCTAGAGCTACATATCGGACCGCTCACTAACAACCACAATTAACGGCTAAAACAAGCCGTTAATTGTGGTTGTTAGGTTTGGGAAACGGTCCTGGGCCTTTCCCATGTTGGGCCTTATTTGGCCTCTGTTTTCCTTCATTTGGATTGTTTTTGGCCAATCGGCTCACCAATTGTAATTATTCTTTTTTATTTATAAATTTGCTTAAAATTAAAAAAAGAAAAAAAAAAAAACTCTTCACCCCAAGTATATCCCACATTTATGTGGTTGTGGTTCTCATCTTCTCTGGAGCATAAAAAGCACGTTCTGTCAAAATTCCTACCTGAGCGACTACACTTAAGCAACCCAGGCAACGAAAGCATGTCTTGGAATGTGTTAAGAGGTATAAACAATGTGACAGATCACAAAAATGATTTTCACCATTATTCAAACTCATTCACCACTTTCTTATTGGGTTACATGAAATGAAAATTTGAACATCAAGCTAAAGGCCTAAGAACTGATACCCACAGAAAACAAATCTTACAACTACCAAGAAACCAAAAACTGATTACCTGCACGGACTGAATTCAGCCAAAACCCAAAAACCTCACATCTCCAGATTCCACAATCTGTACAGGTTGAAATCAGCAGAAATAGTGTTGTTTTTTTGTTTTTGTTTTTCACATCTCCATAGCCAATAATAAAAGTTTTAGCCCAAAATTACAAGCAAAAAATTGCTTGTAAAATCTGACAGAAACACTTAAAAATAAAGGCAGAAACAAAATATAATCTTCATTATTGTGCCACACAAAATCCATATAAACAGACAGAAAAAAAAAAAAAAAAAAATCACAAAATACACACAAACATAACCAAGTAAGAAAATTTGTATGGATAATGAAAGGGAAAATTGATGAATGCATGACCTCCATAAGGGGAAAATCAAAAACAATATTGCAAGCTGCAAAGAATAAGAAAAGAATTAAGCTGGTCTCCCCTAAGGAACAAAAACGATCTGAGCAGCCTCACACACTTCCCGCGCACAATGAAATTCTAGAGAAGCTAAATATCCCGCATCTTCAATATGAACAACATCATAAAAATTTAAATCAAAGAAAAAAACTACTCCTATTAAAAAAACTTGTGGCTTATATGTCATTTAGTAACCATGTGTACTGCAAAAAAAAAAAAAAAAAAAAAAAAAAAATTATACTAAACCGAAAAATAATTTTTGCACATCCACCTTCAAAATCTAGAGACTATCTTATCAACACAAATAATAATAATAATAATTTCTAACTGCAACAACAGGAAAGTGAATGGCAACAAGGCTAGATCAATTCATCACCATAATCATGCTAAGCCCATGTAAATTAAACGAAGAGGGAGAACATGATTGGAAGATGATACAATTCTAAAGGTTTAAACTTTAAACATTTACCGAGATGGAGACCACTAATTAATGTCATCCTTGAAAAGATACAAAGATAATTACATTATCAGACTGAAGGATTATAAAACCGCATAAATTTGAAATTCTTTCAGCATCATACGCCACAATAAAAAAGAAACAAATGGGCTAACCCTAGAAGACTAATACACAGTACAAAAAACAACAATCATGGTATTAATATAAGGTAATGAGAAATAGGGTACCTGAATTGATTAGATAGCTGCCACATGTAGGGATTGACCCAAGTGAGGGAAGAGAAGGAAAATGATCCACCTATGTACAACGATGTATATGAGTGAGAGAAGAACACCGACACACCCTTCTTTGAAAGGTCAGCGATCTCAATTCAACTAACAGGAATATAACATAAAGAACAAGAGAATCTAAATACAACCTCTCCAACAATGGAGTAGGAAAGATGGTATTGGACTGCATTCCCTAGAAAGCAGACATAATAAATAGATAGAACAAGCAAAAAATTAGGTATGGCACAAGAAAAATATTGAGTAGTCACATGGACAAGTTCTAAGTAGGCTATCAAGCAAAAATTAAGCAAAGAATTGGAAAAGAAAAAAAAGAGAGAAGGAAAGAAAGAAAGGACATGGTAGAGCTTTTGAAAGAAGCCCAACAAAGCACAACCATACGTAAATTTTGTAGCACAGCAGAGCCTTTGCAATAAACCCTACAAAGTAGAACATTTATAGATTTTAGAAATGTTTTAAATTAAAGATAAAAAATTAATTACCTCCAAGAAATCAAAAAAGAAGAAGAAAAGAAAAAAGTATTGATGTTTCATGTCCAGCTAGACAACAGGCACTCAAAAAAACAAAAAACAAAAATGAGATTTCTACCGCGAGAGAAAGGAATAAGAAAGAACGTTAGGAAATATCAAGACAATGAAGTCACATATACAATAGAGAAGAAATAAATAATAATAATAATAAATAAATAAATAAACACAGTGCTTGATCAACTGGGGTGGAAAAAATCAACTGATCCGTCTCTTCATACTGGAAATGTCTCCAAGGTTGCCTAGAATGAAACCAGAGAAAACAACATTCAAAAGAGAAAAGATGCAAAATGATTCTTTCAGCCCCTTTTTGGAACAATTCTATCACTGATGTGTAAAAGAAGCGCCTTCAAAACAGAACATAAATTGTATATTTTCTGTTTAGTTGTGTTGATTGAACGGAAACAAAAGCACTACAACACATTCAAAGTAAGTGAAAAAGGAAATTTTCATTTACATTCAGTATTGACTAAAATTGCAGGTGCTCTAACACTGTCCAACTAAGAAACGAGGAAGTAAATCTAGGAAAGTAGACACTCTCCACAAGAGATAAGGCATGTATCAAACCAAAAGATAAATAAATAATCAATGATTCCACTTTTTTTTGTGTACTCATAAATACTTTCAAATCATGTAATCGCAGCAGATGGAAAAACTTAAAACAAAAAAGACAATAGAAACACCTATCAAGGAGCATCCAACGCTTATTGTGCAAGACACATCTGCAGGAACAAAATATCAACATTTTATAAGCCAACCAAATGATCAGTTTGGCTATGGAGGTTATGTATTGTTCACTTCTTTTATTTTTTTATTTTTACGAGTATTACTTTCATGATTCGACAAAAACTGCAAAGAACAAACCTTGAAATGCCAATTCCTTCTCCACATAGGAGTCCAGCCATCAACACAGTTCATCAGAAATTAAGAATCGCAGCCAAATACAACATTATTGCATGAAATTACTACAATCAACATGAATGAAAATTGTACAGATAACCAAATAAGAAACAATAACAGTAATGAACTGCATAAAGAAAACATATATGGACCATTTTTCACCATTAAATGAAAACAACAAATAAACTGTAGCCTAAAGCATACAATAGGATAGTGTTGATAAAGGCATCACATCAATACCCAAACTGAGGTGACATTTTAGCATAGAGAAGAAAATGTATATATATTAGTGTTGGGATGGGGGTATCCAACCCAAAAGGTTAACCTATTAGGTGTAGTGACCCTTGCCCTATATAAGTCCAAGATTTCCTTCTTCAATGAGCAATGTGGGACTCGTTCTGTGGATAGAATGTCACCGCCCTTCCTGTCCTCCCGTCAGCTAGGGGATCTTGAGTCCACATGCAATTCTTGGGGACTTGGTTGTGATACCAGTTGTTGGGATGGGGGTATCCAACCCAAAAGGTTAACCCATTAGGTGGAGTGACCTTTGCCCCATAAGATTTCCTTCTTCACCAACCGATGTGGGACTCATTCAACTACCCAACAATTAATACAATATGTATCAAGCAGGGATTAATCAAAAATAAAAGCAAGGATGAAGTATTCACTTACCATGATAGACCACAGAAAAGAATGACGTGAAAAGAACTGTGAGGATCAACAACAGACTAACAGCTTAAACCTAGAAGATGTGCTCCTAAAATTTAAGATTCTGCCAAACTATACATACGAAAAATTCCCAATTGTCAGTCATGAGAAGCTCAAATGCACCCCCTTCAACTCTTAACCATTCCAAACAATTTCTAGAAATTGTAAAAACAAAAGACAACCTGCAATAAGATTCAATTCTTGCAACATTTCATCCATATCTTCCACATTATTGAAGTTCTAAAGCTCAACAACTCCGAAGATAAAAATCTCAACTGAAACAGAAAATAGAAATGAGAAAAATACATAAATATATATATAGTGGCACAGGACACATAAAGATGAGATAAAATATTTAATGATTATGAAAATAAAACCACAAAAGTATCAATATTAACACTCGAGCATAAAGGTAAATCTTAGAGCCAATCTGGAACAAGGAATGATGGACGTTTATCATATAAACAATGCAATAGGTGCTTTCTGCAACATGGAAGGACATATCAAAAGACAAGAAAACAGAGACAAGAAATTAGCAAACAACCCCCTCGAAAAAGAAAATACCACAATACTGTTTTGCATTAAAAAATTTAATAGATAAATACCACAAATTCAAATTTCTAATTAAAAAATAATAATGATCTGACCTCAAAGTTGACAGCAGGACCTACTCGTGTCATAGCAGCATCTTAGACATTCACGGAGGTCTGAGCCTTAGAAATATGCCAAGAGATCCCTAAGAAACAAGAAGCCATGCAGAAATCTAGATACAGAACATGTATAATAACTGCAGTCAAGTCCATGATGCTGCTGCACCATAATATGCTTCAACATGAGATGCTGCCTTTAAGCAAGGAGAAAGCATAGAACTCTCTCTTCCGTACAGGCTGCTGAGGCACATCCTCCAGCAGAGTGGGCATACATACATACATACATACATACATACATACATATATATATATCCATATATCATAATAACCTCAAGCATAATATATGAAGATCCAACAGTATTCCAACAAAAAGATAAACAAATCATAATTATGAAGTTTGCACAATTTAAACCCCATCAATTTCAAGAATAGTCGGCTTATTGCATCTATCTTATAAACCACGTGAAAATATGAGAATAAAAAAATTTCATTGCCTACACCACACAAATGAACTTGTCTTTTAATATGTCAATTTCCTTGTAATGAATGAAATGACAAGATTAAAGAGTCAACAAAAACTTTTATATGAAAAGAATAAATGCAAACATCAATATCCTCACAAAACTTTTATATGGAAAGAATGAATGTAAACAACAATATCCTCATTTCTTCTTTCGACTGCAATAGTGAAGAGATTGAATATCACTAAAAATAATACCAATTACCTCATTTAGACAAATGCAAATGTTCAACCTAATGCGAACACCAAAAGAAACAAGGGAAGAGCAGGAGACTCTGCATCCCTTAAAAAGGTAACAAGAAAAAATGAATTTCAGGTAAAATATTAGGTTTGTTGTACATGGGAAGGTGTTAGACACCCTATGACACCCATGAAACACGGTTACCTTATTTTTTATGTTGCATTTCAAAAAATGTATGTGTTTAGAACCTAGCACCAAGTGCTTCCTTGAATATTGGCTTGAAAACTTGACTTTATCCATAAGAGAGAGGATATATGCTTTGGTAGGTATATGTGATTAAAAGGTTTAAACATAGGGGTTCTTGAAAAGAAATAATTTTTTGAAAATAGTGTGACCGAAACTAGGAATTACCTAACTAGGCTGCCTACATACCTTACCATGTGAATGGTATGATAATGATCAAGTCAAATATAGTTCAATATGATGAGTTTGAGAACTTTTGAAGTTTAAAATGTATGCATAAGAGCTGGTGGAAATTGTTTTGAAAAGAGATCGTATGAGTTCTTGGTGATTTTGACTTGAAAAGAGTCTCTTTGAAGAAAGAATGACTTAAAAAGTGAGAACATAAGAGTTTTTGACTTAAGAGTATCATAGAATTGTTCTGAAACTTAGGAGTTCTTGAGAACTTATCTTGAAAAAAAATGTTTTGTTTGAAAAAAGTAATTTTGTTCCTTATAAGTTGAATGTTGTGAAATGAAGACTTCATGGTTTGACAATTTGGGGCTTTGCTCCTGAAAATTAAGCCTCAGAAGTGTGCGTACCAATGTAGTGGTTTAGCCAAATTCCTTCAGCAAAAAGAACATCAAAATATATATCATTGTCGTCAAATTGAACAATTGGGAAGATGTTTGTTTATGGCCATATAATTCTAATATATGTTATAAAAATAAAATGTTTTCACAACCATTAATCAGCATTAAGAGAATTTCATGTTACCAAAGGGTTTTATTTTTCAGCACAAGCACTGCATTAGATATATATCATTTTCCTTCTCAGATTAGAAAAGAATATGAAGAAGATAAGTGTAGCCAAAGGTTAACTCAAGAAGACGCCTTTGATTAACCAAAAAAAATTTCAAAGTAGTCAATCTGCAGAATCAAAACAAATCAAAATATGGTGGACATATTGTAGGCTACATACTGTAATAACGTGCAGTGTTTTGTGATCATTCTAGTTAGATGATGCTTTTCAAGTCCCCTTAAGGTACTGTGTATGTATTTTGACTAGTTTACCCATAAAAGTTAATGTTTCATGAATACTATTCTAAGAGAACATAACTAAGAAGTCTTACCTAAGGATGCAAGTTAGGTCAGGTTCTTGGATGAATCAGGACCAAACCAGTCCTAATAGTTCCAGAAATTCACAATAGACTGCCGGTAGTTTCTCACTTTCCAAAGTAGAAGTCGAGGGTTTAAGTCCCAAAAACTGGGCGTGAGTTTCTTGCCAACTTTCAAAAATTATTAGTTCCTAAAGCACACAACAATTACCAACAAAATAAAAAATAAAGCATAACAACAAAGCCAAGAAAATGAGATAATCCTTATATATATTAATACCTTCAATTTCGATTTTGACAACATGGTACAGCATATTTGCCAAAGTAGTTTATATTGCTGTTAATTAGAGAAAATCTGTAAAATTCCATCCTGAGTGATGAAAACTTGCTTACTTCATATCGGGGGTGTCAGAGGGACTCTTTCTCCTGCAATCTCATGAAGGGTGAAAGGAGACTATCTACACAGATGGTTGCATGAAAATCATACACATCTTCTTCATTTTCGTCATCATGTATGCCAAGAGGACCCTTTACTGTTCTGTTGTATAAAAGTAACTTAGTGTAGTCTATCACTTCGTTCCTCAACAAAGCCAACATATCTGAAGATATTGGGACCTTTGTATCAATTCTAGTCCAAGACTGCTCAACCCCATATTCCTTCATAACCCACAATTCACCATCACAACAGGGTAGTATACAAAGGCATCCTTCAAACACCCCTAATTGACTTGCGTTATGAAAACTGGTGTTGACAGAAGTACTTGGCAAGGGTATCATCCGCACTTTCTCATCCACCAAACTAAAAGCAGCAATCTCAAATTTCCGCTGCCACTTGTGTATAATATCTTTAGGGTTTTTAATACGAAGCCAATTAATGGCCCCATTCAGTTGTGTCCCAACGTCTTCGAGAACACGAAAATCGACCTTACTAGAGAAGTCTTCAACTTTTCTCCAACAACCATTTCTCATTGAATATACAAAGATTCGATTGTCATCTATATTCACCACTTTGTAGTCATCATGGCAATGGTCATAGCCAAATCCAGGGGCAAATCCAACTAGGTTACCAGGGAAATAATCGCAATCTGGTATTTGCCACAACTCCCTCGTCGAAATTCTACCTCAAAGCATGTCAACCCATTGCAAGAACCAATGATTTGACATCCTCTGATTTGAGATCTAGGGTTGCTCTTAAATAAAAAATCAATCTTTTCCACTACAATGTTGTTGTTGTCGTCACGACTGGCCGTGAAGAGACCGTATGGGCGGAAGGGATTGGATATAAATACAATATTGCGGTGTGTTTGGATGCTGGTCGACTGATTGAGATGGATTTTGATAAAGTAAGAATCGGAGATCAAAGAGCGCCATGACTTCGACACGCACTTGAATCGCAATAGAGATTTGACGGGCAGTTTTGAGAGTATTTCGACCACAAGGGGTTGGGGAAGGTGAGGCAAAGGCATGGATAAGTCTGTGTTCTTCTTCTTCATCGCCGACGTTTTTATAAACCACCATACACAAAGTTGAACAAAATTGCCTATTTATAATAGTGAAACCGGAAACCTTGCTAACAATGGTCAAAAACCAGAAGGAAACCTATAGAAACAAGGAAACTAGAAGGCTTTTTTTAAAAAAAATTAAAAAATTAAAAAAAAAAAAAATTATTGGGTTTTTTGCAACTAACTGCCCTCTAAATTATTGATTTGTTGCAATTAAAGACAAACTAATCACAAAAAATTAGTTTACACTTTATTATTAAATTTGTCATTTATTATTAAATTATTTTTTATTATATTTTTTCTTATTTAAATATTATTTATACCATTTACCTTAATTTTATAATTAGTATCAATTGATTATAAACCCATCACAAAAGATTATTTTACCATTTATTATTAAATTTGTCATTTATTATTAAATTATTTTTTATTATATTTTCTCTTAATATTAATTATTCCCTTTACCTTGATTTTATAATTAGTATCAATTGATTATAAAAATGAAAATAAATATATAAATTTGTAGGTATCATTTTCTAAAATGATTAATTTGTTATAATAAAACTTATTATACTCACTTTAACAAATTTAGTATAAAAAAATATTTCTTTTTCAAGCAATATTCATGAAATATTAATAAATTAAGTAAATAAAAATATCTTCTTTTGAATGCAATATATTCATGAAAATTAAGAAATTACTTAAATTGTTTCAAAATTTTCTATTTGAGATTTTTATGTAAATAATTAATTAAAAAAATTAAAGGCAAACTTATGCAATTTTAATGGAGAATATTTCATCAAATTAGTATGAATTTTTTTCATAATTTATTTTAACAAGAAAAATATATCAAGTGTAATTCAATAAGAAAAAATATTATGGTCATTTAATGAAAAATAGGTAAGACAATGGAGCATTTTGTAACTAAATGTGATAGTTTAGGGGGTTTTATGCACAAAAAATACTTCAAGGGGTTATTTGCAAATTTAGACATAGTTGAGAGGGTTTTTTGCACTTTACCCTAATAAAAATTACTCTCCCAAAAGGAAACTAACTTTTGATGGTGGTGGAGTTTTAATAATTTTTTTTATTATATTAACAAGAGTAAAATTTCAAATATATCCTTGTTAAAAGATAAAATTATGCTTGTAATTAGTGCATTTGTTTAGTTAAAATGATAGTTTAAGAATGTTATAAAAAATTACCATTCAAAAAAAAAAAAATGTTATAAAAAATAGCACAACCAAATTTGTAAAAAATAGTTTTGGGTAAAGTAAAAAATACTTAATACGTCACTTTACTTTAAAGATGTAAGATGCAAGCACCTTCATCGTATTGGGCGATACGTATACGTAACTCTTCTTCGAGAGTTCGATATGTTACAAGTTGGTTCTGCCAGTTTACACCAATATTCACCCCGAATCTATTACACCACCGCAAACACGAGCTAAAAAGGGCCATGCCCCCCACCCCCAAATTTTTTCCCATATACTTAAAAAAATATAATCTTATATCTTAGGGAAGATCTTTCAACCAAAACAACTTGAAGCAATGCTGAACCTCCGTCATCAGTTTTCTCCCATCTTGGTCTTCTCCTTAGAGACCCACCCGATATGGTAGACTATGCCAGTCTCTTTCTTAGATAACTTGAGTGTTTGTTAACCCACCCGATATAGTAGACCATGCCAGTCTCTTTGGTAGATAACTTGAGTGTGTTGACCCACTCGATATAGTAGACCATACCAGTCTCTTTATTAGATAACTTGAGCGTTTGTTGAGTTTAATATATAGAGTAAATTTGTCTACTTATAAAATAATACTATATTTAGTATAAGATGGACATTTAAGTAATAAATCATTAAAATAATCACTTATAGCAATTAAGTTTTAGATTTGGTGACTATTTGTTTTTTATTGACTTTAAGATCACTTCACACTAATTTTTTTTTTTTTTTTTGGGTAAATCAAAATTTGTTCAAAGGAAAAACAACCAATACAAGGCTGTTCAAAAAAAGGCAGCCCAACACAAACAACAAAACAACGGCACTAAGGCCCAAACACAAGCCCAAAGGCAAAAAGAACCTTCATACAAGAAAACAGAGGCAACCAAATCAGAAGAGAACAAGTAACACGCAGAGCTCACTCAGTAGCATTGTTGTTATCAATGACCACACTCGGTAGTCTCCAATCAGCAGCCACGTACACTCCTAGAGGTCCTAGAGTCTTTGAATCTTAGGGAGAGAAGACGATTACGAATGCAGTCTTCAATGAGCTTCTAAATAGCTTGAGGAGATGAAGATTTTCCAGCATAGGTACGTTTGTTTCTTTCTTTCCAAATGAAATAAATAGCAGCAACAAAGCATAGCCTAGCTGTTGTCGCATCCATAGAATTACACTTATCATTCCATACATTGTCAATCCATCTAGTAATGAATGTAAGGCTACGCTTACTACAGTAGAATCCATAAGTATGTTGAACCTTATCCCAAATAAAAGACGAGAAGCTACACTTAAAGAACAAGTGCTCATGAGTCTTAGACTCATTTATACATAGAAGACATAAGTGAGAGTCTCCCCTTTAACCTGTGAATAACCTGTCTTTAGTATAAAGTCTGCTGTGAAGAGCAAGCCAAGTGACAAAGGCATGTCTCGGAATGTGTTTGGAAAACCATATAATGGTAATCTAATTAGACAAAGGGGCAAGAGGCAGAAGAGCATTATAAGCATGCTTCAGACTAAATTTACCTGTAGGAGACAAGGTCCATACAACCCTATCCACGCTATAAGTATTGATAGTTGGAGGGTCTTCAACCAAGTTGATAAGATTCCTGAATAGAGGAGGTAATCTCCACTGTCTATGTCTGATAAAACCTTTAACCTTAGAGTTAAAACCCCACATCGAATTGGATATAACCTCATTACCAACACTAAGGTTGAGAGGGCCAGAAGGCAACCAATAGTTAAACCACAGAAATGTGGCAGAGCCATCACCCACCTGATGCTTGATAAATTGCCTAGCTAAACCCCTCAATTTAAGGAGCATTCTCCAATTCCAAGAGCTCAATTGTGGGCTTTAATGTTCCAAAAGCTTTTTCCCTTAATAAAGACAGTGTGAGCCCACTGATACCACAAAGATTGGCCACGGTCATTGAAAAGATTCCATATATGCTGTAGGATTGCAATTATATTCAGGGCAGCAAGGTTAGGTAACCCAAGACCACCATACTCCTTAGGTTTGCAGACAGCATACCAATTAATTTTGGCTCCAAAATCCTTCAGCTCCTTCCCAATCCATAAGAACTTCCTCAACACTGCATTCACTTGGTTAATAACCTACAAAGGAAGGATGAAATGTCTACCCCAATAGGCATGAATGTTAACAAGGGTAGCTTTAATAAGCTGGAGTCTACCAACATAAGATAGGAATCTAGAAGTCCAGCTAGATATCCTAGCAATAATTCTTTCCACCAAGACTCTACAATCAGCTGAAATAAGTCTTGAAGCAGTGATAGGAAGCCCAAGATATCTAAATGGAAGTTGGCCAACTTCAAATCCAGAGATGTTGAGCATGTTTCTCTGTATGTCTTCACTCACCCCAGCAGTAAAAATGCTACTCTTAGCCAAATTAGGCTTCAAGCCAGAGAGGTTAGAAAATAAATCAAGGCTCTTCATGAGAATAGACAGAGAGTAAGGGTCCCCATGGTAGAACATAATAACATCATCAACAAAATATAAATGAGAAACTTGGTTTGCTCTACACCTCCAATGGTAGGAGAACAACCTAATTTTCTCAAAAAAAAAAAAAAAAAAAAAAAAAAATAATAATAATAATAATAATTTGAAGAAGAAATATAAAAAAGGAAAACAATCATTCCCTCTTGTGGTTGGAATGAAAAGAAAAAGGAAAAAAAAATAATAATAATAGATCGAGATTATTATTTATTGTCTTTTCTTATTAACGATACATTTTTTTTGTGAAATTTTTTGTTTACCCTACTAGGCTTACTTCGATTTTTAAAGGGTCAAGTGCATAAAACACTTATAAAGTATGTTTACAGTGCATATCTGAGGATGCCAAAGACGGCATGGGCTGGATACGACCCGCGGGAAGAGCAATGGGCCGGGTAGTTGATCTCTGTCCAAACCAAACTCTTTTAAGACAAGCCCAAAACTGAAGATCTGTTGAGTATAGTTAGGCCCAAGAATAAAAAAGGCCCGGAGATGGCGGCCCAACACGGTGACCGAACCGAGAAGCTCACACCCAATGACGACACTTCAAACGACCTCGACCCAGTAGCTTCCATTGATAGCAGTAAGTTCCTTTTTGTCCCGTGTACTCTTTTTCGACGAGCTTCACAAACCCAACTAGCAAAGAGTCTTAGCAACTAAACCGACGAGAAAGTCCGATAAAACAAAGACCCAATAGATTGCTTCAGTCCAGCGACAGCTCAAGCCTTCCTTGGCGAAACCCAGTTCAGCCTCGGCGATGTCTCAAGCGACCTCGAACCAACTGCAGCAACCAATATCCGATGAGCT